CAACTGCTGGTGTGTGCCGGCCTGGCAGGGCAAGGGCTGCCTAACGGCTCGGCTGCCTGTGGGCTTCTAGGCACAGGTTGGGGAGGGTGGAGCTGCCTTCGGGAGGAGCTGCGCTCTGCGAGTCAGACCTAAGAGGCTCTGCTGGGCTTTGCACTCTCTCCATCCACTTGCTCTTGGGAGGGAAAGTTTTTATTTTTCTATCTGACTGGAGAAAGTTTTTATTATACCAGTGGCATTTCCAAGCTGTTTCATACTTTGAAGAGTTTTAAGAGTTCCTGCTCACACTCCTCCTGAGGGAAGCCATGCCCTTCCACACAGTCCTGCGCCTGGTCCTGCTGATGCTGTGCACCATCCTGGTCCCTGCTGTGCTGGCAGGTAAGAAGCTTGTTTGCATTTAAAGCCCAAAAGCATGGGACATCCTTTACTAACCTGTCCCTCTCTCCTGTTTCCTCATGTACCTCCTCTCCCTCCCCTAAAAACATCCATAAGTATCTATTGAATTAGAACTGAATAGTGGAAACGAGCTTTTGAATCAGCGACCAGTGGTCAGACTGTATTTTCCATCCTGAGACTTTTCCTGTTGGGGGAAAATGGGGAAAGTTCCTTGCTGTTTCTCCCTGGCTGAAAAACCAGAGCCTTGGTGAGTACTAGTGGCAGCAGATGTAGCCAGGTCAGGCAGCAGGAGCTGAGCTGCTCTCAGCAGCTGGTGGGAGATCTCCTGGTCAGGAGATGTTACAGTCATAAAAAGAAACCTTTTTCTCTCACTAACACGTGTGCCAGTTTCTGGTCCTTTCTATGCTTTCTGCTACAGCAGAGCACTTCACAGCTGCTCTAAGTAGAAAGAAGAAAGTGTCTATGAAAATGTTGAGCTCAGTCAAAAGCTGAGGTGTACGTCTAACCTCCTGGAGCTTCTGTCCAGGGCTGGACGGCAGCACCGGGAGGGGCCGTGGCTGCGCTTGGTGAGGGCAGAGGTGAGTGAGACCTGCCCTGAGCAGCCTGGGCTTTTCTCCAGGTGTTGGTCCCTTCAGCCAGACCTGCTCCTGCCCTCAGCTTAGGTCTGTGGGCTCAGGGGTCCCACTGCTTGCCTGCTTGGGATGGGTTTTACAAGTGGGGGAGAACCCTAGACCCACTCCGTGGATGGGTTCTGAGCGAGGGGCTGGAAGCTCCTCTGGGAGCTGCTGCCCTCCAAGCTCCTCCTGCAAGCACGGGCAGGGAAGGGACAGCTCAGGCCAAGGGAACAGGCAAGAGCTCCGCGCTTGTTTTCCTACATTCTTGTCCTTCCTTCCAAGACCTGGAGCAAGGCTGCATTGCAATTCCTTCCCAGTTTGTTCTAAGCATCTTGCCTAGCAGGGAGGTCCTGCCCAGCCTTCTAGCAAATGGAATAATTTCCTTTTAAAGGAGCTTTCATACAGGTAGGGGAATTTAGTGCTGCACCTGGCTGGAACACCTGTAGATGCAACAACAGAATTACTGTAGCTGGTATTTCCCCCAAAGATTCCCTTGTTGTAGGACACCTTGCTGGGAAGTCTTTAAAGTAACTTAAGAAATGAAGGGAGACTCCAAGGAGTTTGTCCTTCTCTGCTGCCTCAAAGCAGGGCATGAGTGAACCAGCCATGGTTCCTGATTTTCTGCTACATGAGGAGTGGGGAGGAACCTCCTCCCAGTACAGGGACTTTTAGTGCCCAGTGGAATTTTTGCAGCTTTTCACCCCATTAGAAAAGGAAATTTCCTGCCTTGTGTAGACAAAGAAGGGAAGGGCCCACAGCCATCCCTCTGGTCTCTGTGAGCAGACATGCAGCCCTGCCTCTCTGCACACAAGTTTACTGAACACTCGGGAGCGCGGCTCCAGGCGCACAGGCTGCCCTTTGTGCTGCCCATGAAGGCCCCTTTCATCCCTGCCCTGGCCCTGAGCCTGCCCTGGCTACCTGGGGATGGGCAGCCCCTTGCTGGCCCCACAGCTTACCCAGCCTCTGCCCTCCTGCCTCGGACTCCCCAGAGCAGAGTCCCCTCTGTGGGCAGAAGCAGAGGCTGCCTTAGATGGGGATGCAGGTGATGCCAGCCATGCAGAATGAATCCTCCCTTCCTTGCTGGATTTGATTGAGTCCCAGTGGTGACTCCAAGCTGCTGAGTACCACAAGCCCTGGGTAAGTGTTCAGGACTTCAAGACATGAAGGATCCTGCTGGCAGCTGAGGTTTGCACCTGAGTGTAGCAGTCAGAACACTTTTGGGGTGCTGGTGGGCCCTGTAACTTGATCTGGCTCCTTGCCCACCCTGTCTGGTTTCCTGGACACTGTGGTCAGGGCTCTGTGGCCAGGGAAAGTGTGAATTTCTGCTCTGAGTTACTGAGCTCTTTCCAATATCCCCTTTGTCCAAGATAGGGAAAACAAGTGGCTGAGTCTGTGACCCTCTTTGTGCACATCATCTGGGTGCAACAGGAGCCAGAGCTGGTTCAAGGACTTTCTGCACACCCAAATCTTCTCCACTTCAGCCTTCTCCAAACCCAGGTGACACATGGGCCTAGAGCACAGGAAGATTGTGAAGAGCTGACTTTTTTCTTTTCCTGTAATGGATTCAGACCTGCAGGTGAAGGGGAAGTTAGTAAAAAGCCTTTGCAAGGCCTTGGCTTCTGTATCCCATAGATATTTGGTATCTCAACTCTGATGTGGCCTCATCAATTTCCTCATCTTCAGCTGATGTGGAAATACAGTGTGGCACATGAGAAGGGCTACAGGAGAAAACACAGCAGAGCAGGAGATGTACTAAAGGAAAATGTACGGAAGACCCTGTTCAAGGACATCTTCCTGTAGCACCTTGTGTGTCTTCATTCTCAACAACAGGAGGATAAAAGATTATTAGGAATTCTTTGAAGTTCAAGTACTAGAATGTGAGAAGTAGTAAGCAGGTTTTGTCAGGCACGTTTCTTAAAGATGTGGCAGTTCAGTGGGTCTGTCCAGATATACAAGTCTTTGGAGACTATTACTCCACCTGGCCCTGCACCAGCACTGCTGCTCAGAGACTGACACTGGTATTGGCTCCCAACCGAGCCTGCTGTGTTGGAGGTAGAGGGTGAGGATGATGAGGTGCTGAAACCAGCTTGTACAAGGAAGAGTACTGGTGAGTGATCTCAAGGGAGAAAGTTAGATGGCCACATCTGCCTGCCTTGAGGTCTTGCAGTCTGCCTGGTTCTGATTGGTTGGGGATATCTTGAAGAATCCTTCAGATTTTATTTGCTTCCTCAAGAGACAGCACTGACAGAGACTCTTCCAGTCTTACCTTTTGGCCACCAGGTAGCTGTGGCACTGGCTGCCCCATGGCTGTGCTGGCAGCTCACCCCTCCTCCTCCCTGAGCATGGAAATAGCAGTTTTGTCAGGTTGCCTTTGGATCATCCCTTCTGGATTTCACTGCAGCCCACATAGCTGGAGGCCAACTGGGTCCCTGCATCATTTAGAAACTCAAGGGGTGTTTCTTTATGTAGCGTGGTCACTTTGATACATTTATTCCCTTTTCCTGGCCTCAGTTGTAGGGAAGAAGACACAGTGCAGGATAGAGGTAAGATGGGTCCTACAGCTGCTGCCAGCATGGCCCTCACCCAGATGTTAAACATCTGTTCTTGTGATGGATGAGGTGCTTTCAGCCCTTTTTTTTTAGATGTTTATTTCTACAAAGTTCTTGGGTACAGAGGGAAATGGCACTACCTTGCCCTTGGTGCTTGGTTTCCAGCCCTCCACTGCACATGCCCCCACACACTTGGGATTGCAACCTCTTTGGGATTTTTGCACAAGAAAAATTGCTGTGCCCTGCTCCAGGGCCCTGGAGGCCCCTGTGGCTTGTCCTCTCCCTGTGAAAGGCCACCAGCTCTGGAGCTGTCACTTGGAGACACTGGTTCAGGCACACAGGCTGTGTCCTCCTGGCACTCAGCACATTCCTGTGCTGCTGCTCCTCTGGGTGGGATTGAGGGGCTGGTCTCCTGCTCATGTGCAGGGAAACTGAGCCCATGAGGGAGAGGGACTTGCAGTGGTGACACAAAATTTCACCAGCTGAGCACAGAACTGAACCTCCTGAATCAGGTCCCACGCTTAGACTTGGAACCTGTCAGAGCGTGTCCAACAGGCAACTGGAAGAGGCCTCATCCCTAACTTGTAAGACCTTATAGTCTGTGTTGTTTTAGGCCCCTAACACAAGCTCTGTCCTTTCCCCAGGCCTTTCCTGCCTTTCCTACCTTTCCCAGAGGACCAGACTGGGAGTGTGGCATCTCATGCTGCTCTGGGAGAGACCTGCTGCTCCCCGGGGCTGTTGGGGAGTTGGGGCTTCAGGAGTGGCAGGTGTCACTGTTGGTTCTTAGAGAAATCTGGGTGTGTGGGGATTGTGGCTGGTTGGGCTTCTCAAACAGGCAGGCATGGAGACAGGTGAGGGCATTGGCCTGTTGGTTTAGGGGGGAAAATCAAAGGCAAGTCTTGGGAGGAAAAGCCCTGGTTGCAAACAGGTGCTGTCCCAGCCTGCAGGGGTTGGCTGCAGACAGACCTGCCTGCTGGTGGCCTTCTCTGGGGATGGTGCTTGTGTTTGGTTCTGTGAACCGCCCTGTGTCCTTGCTGCAGGGCTCTCAGCACCTGCTCTAGGAGCAGAAGGTGCAGGAACCAGAGAGGAGCCCCAGCAGCAAGACCTGCTTCTGGGTGATCTTCAGAGGCAGGTCTTCCACTTCTGCGCACGTGCGGCTCTGCTGCTGCTCCTGAGCTGCCCTTGGGTCAGGGAGGCACCAGGCCCTGCTGGAGGCAGTTGTGGTGCCCTTGGTTGGAGTGTCTTTAAGGTGAAACCACAAGAGCTCGGGGAAGCAGGCACGTGTTCAGCACACTCAGCCCTTTCTGTAAGGGTGAACTGAAAGCATCTGCCAAACAGCTGAGGGGAGCAACCAAAATGCGTACTCAGAAGCCAGCCAGGGCTCTATCCAGGTCTTAAAGATTGCCAAGATCATGAACAAATCAGACCATTTCTTGGTTACTTTACTATCAAAAATATGCTCTGTGTCCTGCTTAAAGAGAGCTACAGTCAGGTTTTTTTCAGGAATTAGAGGCACTGGGAACAGGAGAAACTTTCTGGAACCTGTAGGTCTGGTTAGAGAAAGAGCTTTGGTGGGAAGGGGCAGCACTTCCTCTTCATCCCTTTGAGAATGGGGAGTTGGGAAGACCCTGTCCAGGTTCTACAGGCTCCCTGGCCAGTGCCTGCAGATCTTAGAGAGGATCTGAGCTAACACCTCTTCCTCCACAGACAGACACAAGGGCACATCCACTTTCAGCTTTGGAGAGAAAAGCATTCCTGGGAAATGCAGCAACAACCTCCTCCCAGCACGGGGTTCTTCTCCCAGCTGGGGAGGGATGTGGTGCTGGTGCTGGCCCTGGTGGTGCTGACACAGGAAGGTCAAGGCTGGAGGGCAGCTCTCTTGTGTGGAGCTTCTCTGCTCGCCAAAGCAGCCCAGAACTGGGGCTTCAAAAGCTTTTTGTACACTTGGTCTGAGCCTAAACCAACAGCTTCCTGATGCCACCAGTGCTAACTAAATTCCTCAGCTCTGCTGGGCTCTTTCCC